TCACTATTCCTTGCCCCTTCAACATTTTCTATTGTTGCAAGGCTTTCTGTGAATATTTATTTTAAAAAGGTGAATTTATTTTCAGTCCTTCTATATTCTTCTCAGTTCTTTGGACCCAGGCAGAGCTAATTAATTGTGTGCTTTAAAGACATAGAGAATCGGATATTGATAGAGTTTGTCCTTTGCTCTAAAACATGTGAGTTTAATTAATTACATTTCCTATTTTATAATAATTTAAAGAACAGCAAGTTAACATAGTTATGCAAGTTGACAAGTCTACTACATTCTCAAACTGTTAGTGTCACATTTTATTTTACTAAGTTCCTCTTTTTTCCGATAATAACTAAAGTTGAAACATTGTTATTTTCTTAATGAGTGGCAGCTTGCAGTAACTCAATTTAGGTTCATACAGTTGCTTAAGAATGAATTAAAAAGCTCTTATAAATCGTTTTAGGACACAAATGAAGGAATATAATGTTGTTAACATTTTTCATTAAGAAAAATAAGAAAAAAACTAAATAAATAATGTTGAGTTTTCTTGTTGCCCTCTATATCTCTTGTATTGCCAGCAATACTTTGTATCAATAATAAATTCAGCACTTCAAAATATGTTTAATGTTGTATAAATGCTGATAGCAATACCAATAATAATACTGTATTTAAATTGATATATGCTGTGTGTCTGTGTATCTCATTGTCTGTCATTCTGTTTGTCTGTGTATCTGCATGTGTCAGTGTGTGTGTGTCTGTATATCTGTATGTGTCAGTGTGTGTTTGTCAGTATGTGTCTGTGTATCTGCATGTGTGTCAGTGTGTGTGTATGTGTATCTGTATGTGTTAGTACCAATACCAATAATAATACCATATTTGATCGATATATGCTGAGTGTCTGTGTATCTCATTGTCTGTCATTCTGTTTGTCTGTGTATCTGCATGCGTATCAGTGTGTGTGTGTCTGTATATCTGTATGTGTCAGTGTGTGTTTGTCAGTATGTGTCTGTGTATCTGCATGTGTGTCAGTGTGTGTGTGTCTGTGTATCTGTATGTGTTAGTGTGTGTTTGTCTGTATGTGTCAGTGTGTGTTTGTCAGTATGTGTTAGTGTGTGTTTGATTTTTGTTCCTTATGGTAGTCTTATATTCAGGCCTTTTCATTTTTTATTCATTAAGATCCCAAATTTTTTTTTAGCATTGAGCAAATATGGTAATAATAATAACAAGACTCAGGAATACAGTTGACTTATCAAATAAAAAGCACATATATATTTTGACACGGTCATGAGAAAACCAAAGCCAAATATTCTTTTTTAAATGTAACTCCAGTTCGGGATGGAATTATTCTATAGATTTGAATAAGTTCGGTAGCAAAGCATCTTATAATCTTTACTATTTTTTCCCTAGAAGAAGAAAATGGTTGTGCATTTTAACAGCTCAGTGATCACTTTACCACAATACAATAGAAGCGCATTCCTAATCCGAGATGAGTTTCTGAAAGATACTAAGAAAGATTCCTTTCCTTGTGATTCATTAGCTCTGGAAAGGACTATTGCCACTTCACTGCCCCGAAGGGACTTCAGCACTGAGCTCATAAAGCACTGAGATTGATATGAGGGCAGCCTTACCAAGTAGGATTGCTTCATTCATTTATTTTTTATATATCGTACATTCTTTGCATTCCTCCTCTTTCGCCACTATATTATTTGGCTCTGTAACAAAAACTAAACCTCACAAAAACAAACACACCTGATCAGGTATACAAATCTATTTCAAATGAAAACTTAGACAATTTGCAAGATTTAGACCAAAATATTAGATGAGAAAAACAAGGTATTAGAATGGACAACACCTCATTATGGGAAATAACTGCATGTATGATATCATCATCATCTGTGCATCATTGTGAAAGAAAGCGTGGTCTGTCCATGAAATAATGCACAGATCACGTAATAGACAGACAGACCGACGGATTGACAGATAGACAGACAGATAGATAATTAACGGTGTATGAAAATAGTAATGTTGAAAGAAAGTTAGAAAATGGTTCTTCTGTTGTAATGGTTGTCTAAACTGACACTTAAATGCACAGCTGAATCTAACAGCTAGCCCTGCTTGCATTTAGGTAGTGGGAACATCACCTAGCTCTGCTTGCATGCAGGTGGTAGGGACATCACCTAGATCTGCTTGCATTCAGGTGGTAGGGGCATCACCTAGTTCTGATTGCATTCAGGTGGTAGGGACATCACCTAGCTCTATTTGCATTCAGGTGGTGGGGACATCACCTAGCTTTGCTTGCATTCAGATGGGGGGCACATCCCCTAGCTATTTTCCAGGCTGACAAATCTTTTAGTTGGAGGAGTACCTGTTGACACACTAATTAATACCCCACTTGTAAATACCTTATGGCTATGATGGCCAAGTTTGGCACAGACTTACGGTTGGATAAATATCATGGAAACTGTATTTCAATAATGTCTGCAGGTTAGTCCAGCCATCACTGTCCAAAGGTTAGTGCTCAGTGGAAATGGGGTGTCTCTCTATGTTCTATTAGCTGGGTCTGTGGACTGAGGCCTAATGAACAGGAATGGAAATAAAAAACTGTTATGTGGAGGTATTTAATGTTTGGGTGGGGGGTGGGGGGGGGGGTGGGCATGGGCTTACAACTTTTGTTGTGTATAAAACTTTTGCCAGCCAAATTGTTTCACACCAAATATCTCTATATACATGAAATATTGGTGGAATGTATTCACTGAAAATAACAATGCAAAACTGCATGTAAATAAATGTGTGGCAAACTACAGGTATGAATGGTAACAGTGTTATAGTAGAAATAATATTATGGTCAAAAAGGCAATACAACTCAGGTGGAGTATCTTCCAAGCTTCAGGCAGTACCTGGAAGTTGCAGGGAGAGGTGGAGATGTCGTTTCTGAAGGTTTCCTAGCTGGGTTTGTGTTCTGAGATATCTGAGATAAATCTCTGTGCCAAGCTTATATTAGAAAACAGGTTTTGAAAATGTAATTGTAAATCCTAGAAAACAAATCAAAATTAATCAATCACCAAATCGAGCAAAAAAAAAGCCAAAATATTCTATTTGATCAATTGATCATATAATTTGCCTTTACCAGACCTGACACTTTATTGAATTGTATGTCAGCCAATCTGTTTCACATGCACACTGTCAGCAAATGTCCACATTCCAAGGAGTTCTCTTTCAACGCTGCTTCCATCGTTCCTGAGTTAGAAACACCATCTGTTGTGAAACAAATGACTCACTTACTGTAAGTCTACTGTGCTGAAAGGCAGTTCCCTATCAGCACTACTCCTTTTAACCATATTGCTGAAGTGGGCAGCAATATTATCATCAAATCAGCAAAATAAAAATGTAGAACATGTTCCTTTTAATACAAAACACAAAGACCAGGTGCTACTTCCCAAGATTTTCAATTTTATGTTTACTTATCCATTTAGTTAACAAATGTATTTATTTAAATTTATATTATGTATTCGTAAGGAGGGAAAATAAAATTAAAAGTTGAAATTCGTCCCTCTTTATCCTTCAACTGGGTGCCTCTGTCTTAGATCCTCTTCAGTCAATATTATTAGGTCTGTCCTGTGGCAGTCCGCATGAAGAAAACATACTGAGAAAAAGAGGACGTCTTCGTCAATCCCAACGTTATCTAAACTAAATTGGGATATTATTTGCCTAATCTTTAATATAGGTTTCAAAGAAATTGGAGCATCTCATGAAAAAAAGGTTAACACAAAAGTTAACACAAGTTATAGGTGGTTTTCAGTCTTTTAGTCAATGTGTACATTCCATAGATATGACAATATCCCCTTTAATAAAACAAAATAATTAAAAAGGATCAATTATGAATGGTGTTATTTTCACTTGTAGAGTACCTCTACCAAAAATATGTTTTTAGCCCTTGTTATCAGATAGAGCACTTTTCATTCACTAACCATGAGTTATCAAGAGTTACAAAGTGTAGGTATGAAAAACCAAATGTGGGGGTCAGATCAAGACAACTCGCCATTCCGTGAAGAAGTCCCATAAATTCTGTATCTGTAACCAATGGGAAGCTTTGTAAAGTTACAGGTAAATTACAGTCAGACTCAGGTGCACATATACCGTGGCCCCGTCTAATGCATTTATTATAACACACATGCACACATAATTCTGTTCAAGTCAAAATTTGCTCTCATCTTTCAATTAATCATTAGGAAATATAAAAGTCATATTTGTAGATAAATTGTATAATGGTAGTTATTGTGTAATAAATTGCAGATATGTTGGGAGGTGGAGTAATTCTTGTTTTCCCTTTAAATAGTAGGATTCACTCAACACAAATGTCCATAATACTAATATAATAATAAAACTGCCTTAGAGTTAGAGGCATGATTGGATATCATAGTTTGGCATTCTGTATTGGGATACTACACGAACAATGCTATCGTATTTTGGGGCACCTGTAGAGGGCATCCTATGCTCCACCCCAACACAATTCTACCAAGACAGCTAGGCCTCTAATGGAATGTGCACAATGAATTAAATATTATTCTGTGCTTGGAGGTAAATACTGTACACTACATTCAGGCATTCGGTTTTGGGCAAATTGAGAGCAATAGAATATTATCCGATAGGCTGTATGGCCAATTCCCGTATCTACAAAGAGCCATTCGGATGTAGGACCAAGCAAACAACGAGGCAATACCCAATACATTCCAATGCTTTAGGGTTAGGCTTTCAGCCAAGGTACCAAAAAAAACACATGATTGATTTTATCCATTGATCGAGAGAGAAGTGACCAATAGAGGGGTAAAAAGGAGGAATAGTTAAAATGATATTATATGTTTAATACATATATCATGCATGATTATATAAGTAAAGATTTTTATTTTTACTGATTCTCCTTTTCCCTATATTGGTTACTCTTTCGCACTTGATCTTTGTACCAAATGGTAGTAAAAAGCCATTATAGCAGGGTTGTTAAACATGCGGCCCCCCAGATGTTGCTGAACTACAACTCCCATGATTCCCTGGCTATCTGTTTCATTGAAAGAATCATGGGAGTTGTAGTTCAGCAACATCTGGGGGGCCGCATGTTTGACAACCCTGCATTATAGTATGCATATATTTTGAAGTACACTGATTGGCCCCCCGAACAGTTTTTCTTGACTGATGTTCGGCCGGACTGAACCTTCACATGAAAGGACTTCAGACATCCTAAACAAAATTTCAATTTCTGAGACAAATTATTCAGTAGAACTGAAAAGTCCCATTGTACATAACTCTGCAGTGTACTTACTGGGTAATATGTGATAGGAAATTCAAAGAGAATTTTACATTTTAGGTTTAAATAGTGGAACTGTAAACCTAATAAAATGTGGCTATTGTGAACTACAAAATTTAATATAATTCTGAATTTACACTGAATTCCAAACTATTGGTACTTTGATGAATAATGATGGTGCATTGGGTAAAAATGTGAATGAAGAGGCAGAAGAAGAAACATTCTTACAGGGAAGCGAGGGGTGTAAAAAGATTGAGGAGAGGCAGATTGAACTAAGTCCCCAAAAACTTAATTTACCGGTTGAATTGCTTTTTTTGAATTGAATTTGTTTACAAATGAAATAATTCCACATGCATTTCTACTAAGAACCACCAGGGGCAGAATTTCTTACAGTGTCTATCCCATTCACAGACTCATGCATGGTGAAAGAGAAAGACTTAGTCAATCAAGCAATACTCACTTACAGGGTTATTCACTGAACGGAGAGCCTGGAAGTCACAAATAATAAATTGTGAATTCAAATGTTTAAGGCCAAAATAACTGACCTGGGAAAATCTCTTTAGGTTCTCTCTCTCTCTCCCTCGCAGGCTCTCTCTCTCCCTCGCACTCTCTCTCTCTCTCTCTCTCTCTCTATATATATATATATATATATATACATACATATATATATATAAACTTTTCATTTATTTTTTCTAGAGCTTTATTTTTCCAAGTGAATATTGGACAATTTGATTGTTGCTTGGAGAGTTTTGAAATGTAGAATTTTCAAATGTCTAAGTAATTCAAGGAAATTTGGCAACTTAGATTTAGTGGCTGCCAATTCCCTTGGCTTGTGGCGAGCTATGCAACCTTACACTTTGTGCGCCTGTGTGGAGAAGAGAGATAATGAAGCTGAGTATTACACAGGCGCTCGCCTGAAGTGCAGACGACAGATAACGAGAGAGAGAGAAACTCAGTAGGCTGACAGATGTTGCCCCACATTGATTAATCTCCTTATGCTTCTGGGAAGTGCTGGTCAGTGTTGTAGAACTAGCCGCCAAGCAATGGAAGGGTTCGCAAGCTGGCTGTCTACGTAAATATTTCTAGTGCCTGTGCTTGCTACAGTAACACCTTTTGTAGCCGCCTGGCGAGGGTTGTCATCACAATGGGACATAGTTTGACAACAGTGCTCGGTGGCTGTTGTGCTCAGTAATCGCAGAACTGCAGCTGGAGCTCTCTTCTCTGAAGACCTTTGGAATTGTTTAGGCTTCTTTGAAAAGAAACAGCCAGATTCCTATACAGTAAATAGATTTTCCTTCTATTAAGGGGTCTTTCTTTAAGCTAGCCACACATCACTAAAGGTGTTTTGTTTGTTTTGAAATTGCCTTCACCCGTTGCCAATCCTCCTCCATTCCATATCTTAGCATTTTTCATTTCTAGGAAAATGATTGATATAAATGATTGCCTAGGACCTCCTCAATGTACAAGCTGGGACTTACAGATATACTTCTTTAGAACACTATTAAAAAGCTGTGGGTCTTTTTGAAAAAAAAAAAAAATCCCCCTGAAAGGAGTGGTTGGATCTTCTATTAAAGTATTTTAAGGAGCAGTTTGTGGATCATTTATGGAAACTAAATCTTTCCTATAATTACTTAGATTTATAGTTCTCTGAGGTTGACTTTCATATTATTTTTGTTTAAATCAATGTTTCACGTGCCGTAATTTTAAACTGGCTAAAACATAGAACTCAGCTGTAAAAATAGCAGAATGTGATGTCATTTATTCATATCTCTGGAGTCTAACATCGAGGGCATGCCACGCTAGAGAACAAACCATTCAGCAGATTGAGGGTTAAATAGATGAAACACAGATTTGCTGGAGAAGACATGGTTCTAAATATTCCATTATAACAATGTATCCCATTGAAAATAAACTGTGTATCAGGTTTTGGTGTGCTTTGACACTTCAGTCATTAAATATAAACCCTCTTCAAATTTATAATATTTATATATGTAGCACGCACTGAACATAATAATATAGAATCATAGAATGTGACGGCAGATAAGAACCATTCGGCCCATCTAGTCTGCCCAATCTACTAAATACTTTCATTAGTCCCTGGCCTTATCTTATAGTTAGGATAGCCTTATGCCTATCCCACGCATGCTTAAACTCCCTCACTGTGTTAACCTCTACCACTTCAGCTGGAAGGCTATTCCATGCATCCACTGCCCTCTTTGATATTGTTTTTAAACCTTTGCCCCTATAAGTAAAATATGAATGATAAAGAAGGGTCTGAACACAGAACTGGGTGACCAAATAGGAAAGCTTCATGTCTAGGTTCTATGTGAGTATCTCAGTTGGTAAATACACAAACTGACATTTGTTAAACTGTTGCATTATTGTGTAGATTATTTGTTTGGATTTATTTAGCAAACAAGGAAATGCAAATTCTAGAGCATAAACGCAGGACTAGAAAAATCACTGAGCTGTAGAATGTTTCCAATCTGGCTCGTTTTGTTAAACTATTCAAATATCCACAATTTCCAGTTTTGAAGATAAACTCTAATATCATCAGCTGCTGACTTGGTTAAATCTGACATGGGGTGTTAAAGTGCTTTGATTCCCACGAGGAAAGAAGAATTCTAAAAATGTATTATATTTATTACGCTCTACCGGGTTCACATATATGTCCAATTCTGAAAACACCTTGGACGGGGAAGTGAGGTCCTCATTGATAGCCAGTGTCTGACTAGGAGTTACTGATATTTTAATGAAAGGAAATGTTAGATCTTTTGATTCCTTATTTTCAAAAATCGTATCATTATCTGCTAAGAACTATGCGCCATAATATGTTCCAAGCCCTCTGGCATTGTATGGGTTATTGGTGCTGAAGAAGATATTGTATCTGATTGTCCATCCAAAGTAAGAAGCCCTATAGAGGAGATGCCTGAGGCTATTGCTTTTTCTGGTTCTCTTCACCCACTGCCTTTGGCTTCCTCCCTCGTTTCCCCTCTTCTCAAAGGAGGATTGTGTAAGGAATACAATAGGCATGCAGTGAATGTGCCGCACAGAGAAACAAAGCCAGGATTCAACCAGCACCAAGGTCCTGTGATGTGGGACACTGAAAAGCCTGGCGCTGTTAGTATTCCTTAACACGCCTCACGAACACAAACACATTCTGGCTTGAGGCTTGCCTGCGAAAAACATTGATTGGCGCGGGCTGGAGGACGTTTCAGAAATCAACCAAAAAAAAAAAACATCTTAAGTTTAAAGTGTGAGACCGAGTTGTGCGCTCACAGGAACTGTGATTGTGTTAAGATCTTTAAATACATAGTGCGGGTTAACTCATCGGGCCCCAGCGGACTTGGAAAAATAAATGTTAACTAAATTAAACCATTCCAGCTTTTTTAAACCCTGATAGTTCGGTAAGAAATAAAATCACAACTAGCAAAATAAAAACCATGACCTAAAAAAAAGACACAAACCACTTTAAACTGTAAATGTTGGTACAATATAAATGGTATTAGTAAGCAAGCATTATTAAGCAAGGATTTGTGCTGCTTGGGGCCAAGACGTGCTGTCCCCTGTCAGCACCCTCTTCCTGAGTCTAAGTCCCCTCACCCTCGTTTCTGAGAGGTGTCGTTCAGCTGCCTGTTCTATAGTACACAGACTTGCATTATATTATATATAGAGAAGATCTATTTGTACTCTAACCTACACAAGAAGCATATGTTGTTATGGTGGTAGGAGCATTCTTTAAATGTAGTGTCACATGCACACCTTGACACTTGGGGCAGTAGTACATATATAAAATCCTGAAGAATTGTGTAAAGAATTGAATATGTACAGTAAGTAGAAGTTGTAAAGTTTTTCTTTCATCTGTAAAATTAATTCTAAGCAGTTAAAGGGACACTATAGTCACCAGAACAACTACAGCGTATTGAATTTGTTCTGGTGAGTAGAATCATTGCCTTCAGGCTTTTTGCTGTAAACACTGTCTTTTCAGAGAAAATGCTAGTGATAACTTCACTGGCCACTCCTCATATGGCTGAGGTGCTTCTTGGGGCAGTGCTTCACAGTGTGACTGACATTCAGTGTCTCCTCCCTCTGCATGCAGACACTGAACTTTCCTCATAGAGATGCATTGAGTCAATGCATCTCTATGAGGAAATACTGATTGACCAGGGCTGTGTTTGGTTTGTGCTGGCTCTACCCCTGATCTGCCTTCTTGACAAGTTCAATCAATCCAGTGCTTTCCTATGTGAAATCATTGTGATTGGCTGAGATCACTACTTCTGATGATGTCAGCCAAGCAGGCAGATCAGGGGCAGAGCTAGCACCAGCAGACTGAAATACAAGTAAGATTTTATTATATTTAGAGGTTGGGGGCTAGATAGTATTTTTAACACTATAGGGTCAGAAATATGTTTGTGTTCCTGACCCTATAGTGATCATTTAAGTAATAGATAGATACATGTATATACATATGTGAGTTATAATCTTTCTATCTATCTATCTCTCTATCTATCTAGAGATCAATCTAGGGGGTTATGCATTAAAAAAAAAAAACAATTATATAAAAACTTTGTAATTGTAAAGTGTTTACCATTCACTTGCTGAAATCAATTGCTAGTCTTTAAATCAGTGCTGTTGATTAAGTGCCTGGCGCTCCATCGTGCACAAGCTGGATTTAACTTTACATTATTTGTTTGTATCTAATCAGATTGTATATTACCTTGGCTCACTCAGCGTACGAACCCTGATATCCATTTCGAAATTAACTTAAAAGTCTTCATGAAAATAATAGCTAGAACAGATCTA